CGGCCGGGCACCTCTGCTACCTTCTGAAGGGTGGTTACCTACCATAAGGAATTAAAATTCATTGTCTTTTGCAAAACCCACCTTGGAGTAATCACTTTGTTCTTTGAGACGCTGCTGATCAACTGCAACTTTAAGGTGGCTCCCCAAAACGAAGGGATCCTAGCAACCCTTCAATAGTGAGAAAGCAAAGTGATTTAGGGCGCTGAGATCTGCAACGGGCTACTGAGTCTTCTGACTGCCATCCGTGGTAACCAAGGCAGTTTCTATCCCTGGCCAGTCCATCCAGGGTGGACAGGAATGAGAAAAAACAAAACAAAACAAAACAAAACAAAAAAAACCTCATGGATGCTTACTCAGCAAGGCTTGTAGGGGAACACGCTGTCTTCTCATCTATTCCCAACAGATGCTGCTGGCCACGCACGGAATTCACGGCCCAGCCACGGGTGCCAACCTGCCATTCTGACAAACACTGGTTTGAAAGCTTGTGTCTGACTCTGGGGAGAGGGAACAGGAAATCTCTGGTTTCCTGTTTAGGGCATTCTTTTAAAATAATACCACCAGCAAGACCACACAAGGGATGGTGGCAACCGTGAGTCATCCTAAAACAAAGCCAAAACACGCCCGTGTGCAAGCTCCCAGAACTGGTATAAGAACAGAGCCAGGAGTTAAGAACGAGAAATTCAAGAAAAGGAAACCCTCTGCCTCTAGAGATGTGAAAAATGCCACGAATTAGCTAAACACAAATAGGAATGTTGGTGAGTCACCGCCTTTCACGAAGAGATGGGCAGAAATGGAAAAGAACATGACAAGTCGTAGGATGTCCCGTGACAAAAAGTAACATGGCAACAGTAAGCAGGGTCACCCACTTTGGTCTCCCACCGCCCCCCCCCACCCACACACCAATCCCCCCAGGAGGGAGACACAACAGAACGCTCACATTGCCAACGGTCACGGAAACACGTTCTGTGCATCCTAAGAGTTAAGGGTGATTTTGTCTAATGGGTGTTTGCATTGCAAGGTTTAAAGGGGAATAAAAACTCAAACGAAGACTCTCCATGGAAAATATGGGGAGAAACTTCTCTTCTCTGCTCTCTTTCAGAATTTCTGAAATTCCTTTTCAAACGTACGTACATCTTTTTAACGGCTAAATGAGCACCTCCACTTAGGGTCACAAACACCTGAAATCTCTCTGTGTCTCTGCAATGCCTGGCATGCACAGCACATTCTGGTTTTATGCTTACTCAATAATAACACCACTTCCTTTCCTTTCTGCCTTTGTGGCGAAGCTCTGTGGGATGGGGGAAGACTGTGTGTTTGATTATAAAGCCCCAACACCACCTGTTCTGCTCCACGCAGGACTTTGCAGTAAATAACACCAGCACACGAGTTTGAATGTCTTGTTTCTTTAAGGTCCACGTTGATTAGAATGCTTGCTGGAAGTTCATTTTTAAGCAGGGGTAACCCTCTGAGGTTTGGAAAATGCATCTCAGTCTGCAGAATGTATTTCCCAAACCACTGTAGGCTCCCAAAAGGTCTTGGGGGAGATGTCTCCATACACACAGACTCTGTTACCCATCACGAGGACTGGCAAAGATCACAGAGCCAGGGCTGCAGATTTCGCATGCAGCAGACATCCAAGAGTAACAGGCCACACAGCGGGGTTCTGGGGGCATGTCGCGTACACAATGTGTGCTCCGAACCCCGTGAGGGCTGGCCCCAGGAAAGGCACGCCTCTAACTATGTGAGCATCTGAATCATTCGGTGCGGAGCAAGATGGCTCTGTGATTTTGAGCCCCTGAAGAGGCATCCGTCTGATTTCTCACCCTGTTCAGAAGTCATAAAAAACATGTGATTCTTTTCACTTAAAACAACCATCGTGATTGGAAACTCCCCATGGGAATGAATGACACCATCTCCACGTGGGTGGGGCCCCAGTCTTCTGGGGGGCTGGGGAGGCAGGGGTTGGAATAAACTGGAAAACATTCCAGATATCGTGGATGACATGCCACCGTGCCTCCCAAAGGTGGACGGGGTCACAGGCCTCTATTAACTACATTCTTCTCTCCGGGGGGCGCATGCACCTCGCACGTCATCTAGATCAAGAAACTTACCTGTCCCTGCGCTCCAACATCGAGTATTTTAATATCTCCAGATGCAAAAAAAGGTGTTAAGGCATCACAAACAGAGTGGAGGAAAAGCCAAGACACCAACGTAAAGGAGATGAATTAGCTTTTATCAGAGCCAAATGCGCAGGCGGCCAGGACGATGAGAAGCATTTCCTCCGCAGGGGAGGCTGAGACAGACACCCACGGGGCAGAGCCAAAAGGCATCAGCGCACTTGAGAGATGATGCCCACACTTTCTGGGTGGAGGGGGAGGTGAGGGAATCGCAGGGAGACCTCGGACTGCCTGGGCAGTGTGGGTTTAAGATGCCCAGAATCCGCACCCGGGAACAGAGCTGCCTTTGTGGTGAGGAAGTGTGGGGTCACGGATTCAGATCCATCTCGGACCCACTACACACCGGCTCCTTGCTGAGCTCACCCTGACGACCAGCTTCTTTCAGAGTCTGGGATGTGGTTACCCTAAGCCTAGGAAGAACCCTGCGTGGTCACGCCCCAGCCATCAACACAATCTTGAATTCTAACACCCAGGACACCAGGGTTCATCAGCCTCCGCCATACCCACGACAGGTGGGGCTGAATCACTTTCTGGGGTGGGGCGTCCTGGGCACTGTGTGCACTCAGCAGTATCCGTGGCCTCCTCCATGCCCTAAGCTTCTGAGTGGAAACCACATGTCCCCAGGCACTTCCAAGGGCCCCCTGCTCTACAACAAATTCAAGTCATATTTCTTTGTGGGGCCTCCCCGGCCCCCATCCTCACTGTCCCACAGGCACTCCTGGGTCCCTGGGTCCCAAGGACTCTGAAGTCAGGCCAGTGCTTTGAGCACCTCGGTGAAGACAGGGCCCCTGGCTTTTGTATCCAGAGGGCAAAGTAGGCCCCCTGCAGTGCTGTGACCTTCAGCAACTGGAATGCCAACTCCCCCGACAAAAACACACGGGCATGGTTGGAGCAGCCCTTTCCTGCCGCCGGCCCCAGAAGGATCGGCAGGGAAGGAAGGGGGGCAAGGGGCCCTCAAGACCACACTCTAAGGCTCAGTCCTTCCTCTGCTCTTGTGAACCCAAGTCAGCTCCCCACGCCAACGTGCGCCCCCCTGCTCCGCACACCCACCGCACCCACCCCTGTGCCCCTAAATCATCACCAGCAGCTCACCAGAGTACCAATGATCTTGGAGTTGCTGGGTACTCTCTGAACACCATTCAGGCAATCCTGGGCTAGCGATGCTATGAGTGTCTCTAAAAATTACAAAATGAACTGTTTGGGTCACAAAGAATATAAGGCTGCCCCGACGGGTGCAGGTCGGCAGGCAAAACATTACTAGGGAACCAGTCAAACCCCAGACACGCCCTCACACCCGACGATTGACCACCTTGCCCCACTGCAATCTCGCATTACGGGACTGTCACCATTCCCCTGTCCCTGTGTCCTACTAACCTGCTCTCCTCCCCCATGCACGGTACATTCTCCCCCCACCAGAAACTTTTAATTCATTTCCCGGTGTCCCAGCACACAGAGGTGCTTGGTAAAGAATGAATCAGGGGAGAATTAGTACATGATGAAAACACTCTGTGGGTAGGTCTCCTTCCAAGAAATACAGCAGCTTAGAAAAAATAAAGAAAGAAAACGCCAAACACCCCAGGATGAAATCCTGCCCCTGCAGCATCCAGGTGGGAATGATAAGGACACGGAGTCACCTGATGCTAAACAGGAAGCCAAGTTCAGGGCCTCCCCTGCAAGCTGGAAGCTTGCAAGATACCCGTCACGGGCCACCCTCAATTTTCTCTAAAGTCAGCCACAGAAAGCACCATTTCTAAGGTACACGCAGTGAAATCCATTAGCAAATGCACCCCCCACAAAAGCCAGGAGCCCGGGACGCACAACCCAGCCCCTTGGTGCTGAGCTAAGTTGCCAACAGAAGGAAAGGCGCCCCCGCACAAACCGGGCCTTCCGTCCCGTCTCTCGTTCCTAAAACGTGTCCACTCCCCCGTGGGACCAGTCCTGAAAAGTGCACACGAACCAGGAAACCACCTTTCACTGGGGGTGAGCTGTTGGCACCACGCGCAGCATGATCCCCACTTTCCTTTTAAAAAGGGGGAGACCACAAACAGGGCCGGTTCGGTGGGGGTCATGAGGCGGGGCGGGGGTGGGGGCGTTCCTTCTCTGAACACTTTCTGGGGTTTATGCATTAGCTCCTGGGGCCCCGAGCATCTGCTGAGAATGCGTTGCTTTCCAGCAGCCCCGAGGCACGGATACAGTTTTGCGTCGTTTCCAGGGAGCCAAGTGTTTCCTGACTCTTCCCGCGCCCTCCCCCAGTTTGCAGGCTCTCCAGCCGAGGCCAAATTTAGGCCGGGGACGCAGGGCGTGGCTCCCCGCGTCCAGACCGAGCGGCGGGGCGGGAGCGCGCTCGGGAGTGCACCCGGGGGGCGCGGGGGGCGCACAGGGCCCGAGCCCCGTGGCGAGGGCGCGGGGTGGGGGCGTCCGGAGCCCCGAGAAAGTTACCCGCGTGGGGACATCC